GATGCTTTCATAAACATGTCTGGTTGATAAATGTATATGTATTGGTTGTCTGTTAATAAATTGGATTACTTAATTTTTGCCCTCTTCTTTCTCAGGCCTACCTCATCGTCGGTTTCGGCACACCACAACCGACTTGCTCCTTTTATCATCCTACGCTTATTCATGGTATTTCACACTGTACTATCTTAAGCACCTAACACAAGTATTAAGGCAATTTGCCTGCATTTGTGGGAGGTGCTGGTTTTCCACCCCTAGCCTACTTAAGGCACTCCCCTTGCCTGGCTCCTTACCGTTCGAGGTCAGCGTTGAATGACCCTCCCACCACACCACTTTTAACATTTATTTTCCTGGGTGGGCCCTCTTCTTTCTCAGGCCTACCTCATCGTCGGTTTCGGCACACCACAACCGACTTGCTCCTTTTATCATCCTACGCTTATTCATGGTATTTCACACTGTACTATCTTAAGCACCTAACACAAATATATATATATATATATATATATATAATATATTCCATAAATTAAGAGGTGCATTCAAAGGTCTTATTCCAAGTGATTCTTTAATAATTAATACATCAACCCTAAGGGTTTGGTCGAATCATCTACGACTGCTATAGGCTATTAATACTTGCTTAAGTCAGTCCACCCTGTGCATGTGCTGATGTCATATCAGTAAGGAAGGGGGATCCCCTCTGAGGGTAATATCGTTTCTATCCCACGGGATGTAGTACCAATCTTTATGAGGCTAGAATCTAGAATGACAGCTATAGTTGAACCTGCCCGGGAACCTACAAGGTTTCCAGGTGTTCCTGATCGTATAGTTTATCACCCTCTATGAGATTGTGTCGCTGCTTCCCTGTCTACTGTAAGAGCAGGGCATCTTGGCATGAATGGACATATCCCATAAGTTAGTGTCCACCTGTGATCTGACGACTGCTGGTGTCCTACCTTGTTCGCTTGTTCCCTAGGCAGTGCTATCACCGTTTGCCCTGATCCGGGTCGACTGTATAATTTGTGGTCTCAGATTTACTCAGGTTTGATGACCCTGCGCTCCAGGTGCCTATCTCTGCGGTACATGTGTAGTCAATGGACCATAGCTTGTGTGATATCAATATTCCTCAGAGCTTGCGTATCTCAAGAAATGTAAGTAAACGAAAAATCATATAAACTATGTACATTTTGGGTTACTTTGTGAGATATCACTGTGCATGCAAGTGCTTAGTACTTCGGGTATGGTAACTTATGTATCAGATAGAGAATGCAGGAGAAGAGCAAATGTCAGAAGTACTCGATCTCGCCCCCCTCTTCCCTCCTTTCCCCCTCTTCCTTTTCCCTTTCCCCCTTCTCATCTCCCTCTTCCTGCCACCCCCCTCAATACTGTGCCCCATCTTATTCCGCTTCCTGGGATCATGGTGGTAAGGTAGTGTCCTATACACCGCTATGTGAAGAAATATGTGTTTCCCGTCGTGTTTTAATGTCTAAGAAGCGTTGCTTCGCTTGTGTTTGGTGCATAGTCATTGTCTCATAGTCTAGGTTTGTGGATATCTGCTGGATCAAGAGGTGTTGCAGAGGTGTCTCTGTAGATTTGCATGCCCTTGCAATGAGTGTATTGGCTGTGATCAGTATGTGGAAGAGTAGTATGGAGTCTGATTTGTTGTACCCATTTAGCGTCATGAAGAGTAGACACCGTTCAGGTGTGAGGGTGATTTTTTGATGCAGTGCACCCGAGGCCACTCTACTCACCATCTCCCAATATGGTTTAAGTTTAGCGCATGTCCACCATGTGTGGTACATGGTCCTTCTGTCAGTTAGGCATCTCCATCAGTCGTCGGTGACACCCGTATATATTCGTGCAAGTCTGGCCGGCCCGCTTAGTGCCATGAAGAGTTGTACCCGTTTAGTGTCATGAAGAGTAGATACAGTTCAGGTGTGAGGGTGATTTTTTGATGCAGTGCACCCGAGGTCACTCTACTCACCATCTCCCAATATGGTTTAAGTTTAGCGCATTTCCACCATGTGTGGTAGATGGTCCCCCTGTCAGTTAGGCATCTCCAACAGTGGTCGGAGACACCTGTATATATTCGTGCAAGTCTGGCTGGCCATTTAGCGTCATGAAGAGTTGTACCCATTTGGCGTCATGAAGAGTAGACACTGGGTGTTCCCAGACAAAAGTGAGTGAACAGTTTCTGGAGGTTGTCAATATAAGATTTAGGAAGTGGTATTTGTAAGGTTCAGAGTAGGTACTGGAATTTTGGTAGGTGGGTAATTTTCAGTACCTCTAGTCTATCCAATCAGGAGAGGAGCTTTCCCTCCCACGATTGAAATTTTTTTTTTTACAATTCATCTTCATCATACGCAGTCAAGTGCGTATAATCAGAATAATCTACAATTATTTATACAATCATATAGTAGATAAAATTCAATTAGTATGTATAGACAAATATAATCTTAGAACAACCAAACAGAAAATTTGGACGGATACTGAGTCTATCTGGAGCACAGATAATACCAATAATATAACATTGGTTCAGCATAAAACGTGGAGAGGAGAGAAAAGGGAAAAAAATTAAAATTAAAAATAAATAAATAATTATAAAAACTCCATCCTCCAATAATTATTGTAATTATGTAAAAAGAAATGTCTCCCCTTCCCTCACTATCTCTCAAGGCTCTGTAAAGGGAGGCTCTCTTGAGGGTAGATCATTCACAGGGTAGGTTAATTCAACAGATCTGGCCTGAACTTTCATAGTATAAAATCCATGGATCCCATATTTTTTTGCATTTATATAGCATCTTTATATCGTTATTAAAGTGTAATTTTTCTGCCTCTCTCTGAAAATTTATTTGAGTTTTTATTTTGATCCCTGTTGGAGTGGTTGTATTCCTCCAATGTCTAGCTAAACACATTTTCGCTGCAGCCAAGATGTTAACACATAGATATCTATTATATTTTCCTGTAACAGGTAAATTGACATGAAACAGGAAAGCTTGTGGCGTAAGGCTATATTCCAATGAGAAGAGTTATCAGTTGTTCTTCAACAAATTATTTGATAGGAGCCAGTCTTGGGCATTCCCACCAAATGTGTATTTGTGTGCCTGGTTAATTTTGGCAATGCCAACAAAAATGATCTAAATTTGTATCTGTAAAGGATCCTGCTAGTCGTGCAGCGCTGATCCTTGTAGCTTCTCCCGAAATCCAGCTGAAGTAAAGTGATTATAGCTCCCAATCCCCCAAACATGAGTCGTAAAATGATCTAATTTAATGAGGGCTACCTGCCCGGTATTTATGCAGGTCTCCCACACTCCCCTAGGGGACCAGATGGAAGACTGGGACAATCGCAGTGGCACTCCCCTTTGCATAGGTAAATCCCTCCTCTCTATCCTGGAGATAATTAACTTAAGTGGTGGAAGAAACCCTAATTATCTCCAGGCAGAGAAAAACATGTCTTTTTTATATTTTCCTAAAACAGTATTAAAATCTATAACTTGTATTTCACCGAACATAAACTTTAAGTCCCACATACCCCCAGATAGCTTGGATCTGAGCGCACATTATAGTCGAATAGTGCTCAGATCCCACGAACACAGTTCTCAATATCATCTAATGAAGTTTTGATTTCACCGGTTGTTCGCGAGATTGTATCCGAGAAAGAGTTCCATAACTGTAGCTATCTGGGGTCGGTCTATTTCGTATCGCATAAAAGTCCCGAACGGTAAAGTGTTCCAGGCATTCGTGTGTTTCTAGCCGTATGAACGGGGACCTTGATAGGCGCCAGCGGTGTTCGGCGGAATAAGTATCCGAAAATAGTTCCAGGGCATCGCCGCCATCTACCGCTCAGTGTTCGACGATTTAAAATGGCGACCGCCACGTGTTCGGCAGACGAACGTGGACCACCAAGCCTTTCCCCAATTACTCTGTGGTTAACTGCAAGGTCTGGGCGGTAAATGAGCGACACACGACCTCAATGGGAGGTCGTGTGATTCGGTAGTTTGTTCGTTTTATTTGTATTTGCACGAAATAGCCACACATACGCATAAATAACCGAAAGGCTGCTTCTCAGAGTCTGTTTAACACAGGATTTCGTTACAGTATCAAACTTTGCAAGGCATGTAGGAAGCATATATCATCTCTGTATTAACTTGAAGCATTGTTCATGTAGACTGATACAATGCATGGTGGTTCTTGTGATTTGTCAGGCATTGTTCCAAATCCCTGAATAAACAGTAAAAGCACAATCTCTCTCCCAAATGGAAACAGCTTTAGATTTATTTAAGATAGTTCTCTTATTTAGAAATTTACCAATTATAGTAATTGTTTTAGAGTTCAGTTGTGTAGTATGACAAATGTCTATTAATTCTGGATGACTTGTTAGACCTGAAGTAACATTTCCCGATCTCCAGACACATCACAGGCATATGAAGCAAGTATTGCAAACTGGGCTATATTGCAAACTTGAGAAATGCATATTTAATTAAACGGAGGTACAGTTCATGGGATATAATATTTCGGCCTCTGGTTTTCAACCTCTTGATGTAGAATTTAGCAAATAACTTAGCATCTGTGTTTAGGAGCGAAATTGGTCTAAAATTTTGAGGGTGCGTGGGGGGCTTTCCGGGCTTTGGCAGTTGCGATATGCGCTACCAACATTTCTTTCCTTAGTGTTTCCATGTGAACTGCTTCTATGAAAGCTTTAACTAAGTGCGGGGCTAGTATCGAGTCGACGGAAATGTTTTGTAGTAGGAGTTATCTAGGCCATCCGGACTTGGGGATTTTCCAGATGGTAGAGCTTTAATGGCTACCCTAACCTCCTCTTCAACCACAGGGTTGCATAGAGACTTCTGCTGAGTTGGCGTTAAATGTGGTAAATGGATTGTGTCTAGATATGCGTTAATATTATCTTCCAGAGGTTGGTGGATGGTTACATCTCTGTTAAGTTTATAAAAGTCAGCATAGTATCTGGCGAACTCATTACTGGTTTCTCGAGGTATCATGCATTTTTACCCATTTTGGTTTAAGGAGGTATGCTATTTTTAGTTTGGCCTTGTTTCCTTGAGTGTAGTTTGTGGCCTTCAGTTTTTTAAGATAGAAGTTCGTGCGCTCTAGAGCATGCTGGTGGATTTGCCTGGTGAGGAACATAATTTTATCCCTCAACTTTGTAGCGGGAGTTAATTGGTTTTGTGTGTTTAGGTGACACAGTTCTTGCTGCCATTGTAGTAATTGGGTTTGTGTTTGTTTTTTTAAGTAGGACGCCCGCCTAATGAGCAAACCTCTAATTACCGGTTTGTGTGCAACCCAAAGGGTACTATAGGGGGTGTCTGGTGTAATGTTGTCTTCGAAAATAGTGTTGGAGGGCTGTGCTCAATTCATTCCTGAATTGTGTGTACTGGAGTAAAGAGATGTAGTAATGATGCATTGCCAGGAGTTTTTGGATTGCTTTGCTCTGATGTTTTAGGGGTCGTTATCTAACGTTGTGAGGTGAGAGTGGTGTCCATCTGGGGGTTCAGAATGTGATTAAAGTCACCACATATGACAGTTATTCCCTGCTGTATCACAGACACTTTTGCAATATCTGGTGTAGGAAATTACGTAGGTTTGTGTTGGGGGCATACAGATTAACAATGGTGTATAGGATGTCATTAATAGTTCCCACAATGATAACGTACCATCCATTGGTATCAATGTCTTGTGTAACCATGGAGAAGGAAACAGTAGCAATAATCAAAATGGAAGTACCTTTGGATTTGGTTGTTGAAGTAGCATGGAATTGATGCTGATAAGTAGGTTGTAGTATGGCCAGTTCTAAAATGTGTCTCCTGCAGACATGTTACATCAGCTCCCTGAGATCTAAGCTCCCTAGTGAGTACATGCCTTTTATGTGGGACATTCAGTCCTTTAACATTGAGAGAGCAAAATCTCATGGAAGGTTATAGTAAAAATTTTTTGTTAAATATGTGTGCGACATGAAGTTGATGGGGTCCGTTGCCCATCCTAGCTTTCTCCAGCTAGGCAACGGGGTTCCCCTGTGTATCGTAGTTAGCACTCAAATTCTGTTGTGCAACACACATAAGTGAGTGGCATTTTGATCTTTATAGTCATCTTTGGGGGGACAATCAATCAGGGGAGGGCTCCCCACACAGCCCAAAGTAAAGGAAAAGTAAGAAACATGACAATGTGGCACAGTTGACGTGCACAGCATATTGTAGCATGTATAACCATAAGAAAAAAATCAGCAACATAAACAAAACATAAACAATAATAATGCCAGTAAGACGGCTTCGCTCTGCCTAGCAGTGCCTTGGGGATGAAGCTTATGGCTTCAACAGGAATCAGGCGCTTCACCGTGCCGGCTCATTATGCGAAAGTTATTCTATGTGACCCATTGTAGTAATTCTGGAGGGGGAATGATATATGAGATACCTAATAGGAAAGATTCCAATGGATTAACACGAACATACCAGTAGCTACATTTAGAAGGGTATACCCGTTCACACTTAACATAACAACATAACATTTTTCTTATTGTGTTTTGTGGGCTTTTTTCCCTTTCTTTCTTTTGGCTTTCTTCTTCTTCTCCTTTCCCTTTCAATTTTCTTCCTCCCTTTTGCCCTTGTGTCCCTTTTTTTCTTCCTTTTTATCTTTTTTATCTGCTCTTTGTCTTTTTTGTTTTTTTGTTTGTTTTTTTAAACTTGTTTCATTAATTTAAAAAGAAAACAAAAAGAAAAGGAGAGAAAGAAACAAACTGTAAGCCCTGGTACAAGAGCCTAAAAATTGTTGTGGAACTAAGTAATGTAACTGAGGCAGTTAATGAAAGTGTGTACCCTTGTGCATATATTGGTTACTTGCGGGAACTGAGCCTTTTGCCGGTTACTTCCTAGCTCTCTTCCACTCCGGGGATAGTCGCCTTGTCTCTGGTGACTTTCTTTGTGGGGACGGAACTTCTATACCCCAATCTCGCAGCAGAAGGAGTCCCCCTTCTGATGTGGACACGGTGTAGTTCTTGCCTCCACGTTGTAGCAGTAACTTGACTAGGTATCCTCAACAGTAGGCAACATGATGATTTCGGAGTTGTTCGGTGATAGCGTGGAAGTCCCTCCGGCGTTTCAAGGTTGCTGGTGATGTGTCTGCAAATAATAGTATGCAGTGAAACCTTTCCAGCAGTTCTTTCCTTGATCTGCTGCTCCTCAGTATGATCTCCTTAGCATTCGCACCAATATGTCTCTGGGGATTTCAGGGGGGAGGAATCTTGGCCTTGCCGTCCTGTGCACCCGGTCCAGTAATAGGACATCTTGTGGCAAGTCAGGGGCTAAGGTTTGCAGTAGGTCTGTGATATAAACAGGTAAGTCAGCTGCACTAACCGTCTCCACCACTCCCCTGATTCTCAGGTTATTGCGTCTGGCCCTATCTTCCATTTATGCGAGTTTGTTGTCATACGCATCCATGTGGGCAATCAGAACATTCACTGTATAGGCCAGAGTGTTGTGAGCTTCGGCATGATCTGTTATTTTATCCTCCATTGCAGAGGTTCTTGTTCCAAGCTCTTGTAGGTCCTTTCTGAGGTCTCCGATAGACTGCAGGGTGTCCAGCATACTCTGGAGTATGTCTTTAGTGAGCTGGGGTTTTGGATCCGCGGGCCTGCTCATTGTCCTTCTCAGCGCCATCTTGGCTGTGTTCCGATAGTGGCATACTTTTCCCCTGGTGCGCTTTTGAGGCAAAGAAATTAGCTTTATCGAGCCTCTCTGCAGCTTGCTTGCTCTTGGTCTGGGACATGGTGCTGGTCCTGTTCTTTTTGGGTCACAATCCTGTGTTTTGGGGCCTATTTTCGGTGGAGCTGAAGCTACATGCAGCTGATCTCTGTGAGTGTCAGGACACGCCCCCACCATCACTCTGTTTTAACAAAAGGACTTACCTTTATCCAGGTAACCAGATTCATTTAGAACAGAAATTGAATTATACAAATTACAATGTACACTGATTAGCAACAAACACAGAAAGGAATGGTCCATGTAGACGCAAAAAAATCATTCCTCATGAGATATAAAGGTGACATCAAAACTTTAAGTAACACAATCAAATCCTTCATGCAGGCATTAAAAACGGATACTGCCCAAATGATAAAAAACCTGCCAGACCACAGACAAAACCTTACAGGTCCCGAAAAAGCAGCACTTAATGATCTTATGAAAGACTTTAACATAATGATATGCCCCGCAGACAAAGGAGGGGCTGTCTTCATGTCTTATGACAAGTATAGAAACGAAATCCTACAACAACTATCTGACAACTCAACCTACCAAAGACTAACATTTGATTCAGTTCAAAAGTTCCAAAATAAATTAAGTAACCATATTGTAGTGGGGGGTACAGATGGGCAATTTGGACATGAAAATGGGCAAATTTCTTTATCTTGAGCACCCCAAGCATCCAGTATTATATACGATACCCAAAATTCACAAGGATGTCGACAACCCACAAGGGAGACCGATTGTCTCAGCTAGGGCCAGTCTCCTGGAACCAATAGCCAGATACATTGACTACCATATAAAGACTTCAGTTATGGAGTTCCGGACTTGCCTACACGATAACAGTAATTATTCTGAGAAAATCAATAACATTAGTTTTATGAATGAAAATATCTTGCTCGTTACGTTGGACTTGAAAAGCTTGTACACAATCATACCACATTTGGAAGGTATACAAGCAGTTATGCAAATCCTGAGTGTATAAGGCAAATACAGTGGTCCTCCAATTGAATACCTCCTGGATATTCTACATATTGCATTAACATGCAACTATATTAAATTTGAGGAACAATTTTTTTCTTCAACTAGCGGGTACGGCGATGGGGCAGCCATGACACCTTCCTACGCCAATGCCTAAATGTTTCTCTTCAAAAATGTGTGTATATATATATATATATATATATATATATATATATATGTATATATATATATATATATTAAGTAAATATGTGGAAAGTATCAGTACATATCATCGCTTTGAAGATGACATATCTTTAATTTGGACAGGTTCTCCTGCAGAATTAAAATATATGGTCAATGAGATTAAGTCATCACCTCTTCCCGTTTAACTAACCCTGACATCCAATGATACTGAGAAACAATTCTTGGATGTGACCATTTACAAGGAAAAAGGTAAATTCTGGTATACACTTCATTGAAAGGATACTGACAGAAATACACTGTTACAATCTAGCAGCTACTACCTTCAGAAGTTCAAGGATTTGCTGCCCATTTCGCAGTATATGTGGGTACTCCGCTACAACAATGATCTTGACAACAGGGAACAACAATTAAAGGATATGACTAACAGATTTCTGGTCAGAGGCTACTACCCTCAAACATTGGAAACAGCCAAAGGGAAGGCGATTGACAAACGGTCCAGTGGAATCCAGGGTAAGGAATTGAGGACAGTAACCAATATTATAAAGATGTATCTACCCCTCACGTTCCACACGAGGACAGCACAGATACGCAAATCGATTAATAAATATTGGGACATACTAAGCTCCGGCAGAAATTTGCTCCAGATATTTCAAAAATCCCATTATCAGCTACAAGAGAAATATGAACTTGAAGGACTGATTAGTCCATAGCAATCCTACACACTTTTACCATGAATCAAAGGGATACAAAAAGAAGGGATGTTATAAGCGCAGTGGCAGTGTAACTTGCAGTCACATGAACACTGGTACTACCTTTGCCCACTCATACAGCGGTAAAAGGATCCCAATATCTCACTATATTACTTGTACGAAGGACCATGTAATCCTTATACATGAGTTTTTCTGAATATGTTTACTTAATGCTTGTGGCTTCACATATACTATGCCTTACATGGGTACATCTAATTGGACCAAGATGTATGGCTAATAGTAGCATAGTTTTGATTTTTGGGGGGATTAACAAGTGGTTATGGTACAATGAAATTATATGCATTCAACATGGCTATCTTTAGTTATATATACCTTATATAGTAATAGTACATTATTGTTATTTAGTAAGCATGTATCTGACTTATCAGTATTATTATATTTTGTATATCATAGTACATTATTGCTTTGCACCTTAATACACTAAATGTGGCATAAGATATTTTAAAGTCTTCTGGACACTTGGTTGAGCCTTTATCACTTCACTTCATTCAATTTAGTTCACACTGTTTGCTTTATCACAACACACAGTTTTTTGTAATCCGCAAATACGCACA